CGAAAGACTGGCGGCGTAAAGTGATACACGAGTGTCACCAGGTAGCACATACAGGCATCGCAAGAACGACGGACTTACTACGACAAAGTGCATACTGGCCGAACATGAGAGACGATGTGGCTGAATACGTGTTAACCTGCCAGCAGTGTCAGCTAATGAAAAGCGATCGATACACACAACCGCCATTACAGTCAATCCCAGTAACCGCAGTCGGTGATCTATGGTCGGTTGATGTGATGGGACCGTTTCCACAGACGGCGAGCGGTAACCAGTATCTGTTAGTGATGACGGAACATGCCACACGTTGGGTAGATGCCGTACCCATTGCAGACCAGCGGGCAAGGACAGTGACCGAGGTGGTAATCCGGCATATTGTAGCGTGTCACGGAATACCGAAGATGATATTAACTGACCAGGGTCCCTGTTTTGAAAGTGACGAGTTTAAAGCCCGTTTAAAGCAGTTTGGCATCAAGAGAATACGAACTACACCATATCATCCTCAGACAAACGGGCTTACAGAGAGAAACAATCGGACGTTAAAGGAATGGTTAGCATCAAAAGGAGGAAATTGGGAGAAAGAGTTACCATTGATTTTGCTGGCACATCGTTCCTCAACACAAGGAACAACCAAGAAGTCACCTTTCTTGCTCATGTATGGCAGACAACCACGACTTCCAATGCATAATAAGACCTGGCCACAACAACAGAGGTGGACGACAACAAGGTTAAGAAAAGAGAGGAGAGAGGCAATAAGGAACGTGGAAAAGAAACAAATATCAGACACAAAGAAGGCAGAACAACAGAGAAGAACGTGGAAACCCTTTGCAGTGGGGGACCTAGTAAAGTGTAGAGAACGAAAAAGTAACATAGCAGGGGGAGCAGGGTCGGGGAAGCTGGCCCCAAAATGGGAAGGACCGTATGTTATCACGGAGAGACGCGACTCGGTCTACACGATCCGGAGAGAAGACAAGCAGAAGCGCGTAAATGCTAGTCAACTACAGAGATGGTTTCAAGATCATCATGGGTGTGAATCACGAAAAGCAGCAAAGAACACAGCGGTACGGAGATCAGAAAGACTACGACAGCAACTTGTTAAAAGGGGGGACGAGTGTGGTGCGTGCTACTTATATTGATATAAGTAGTATATAACGTGAGTCAAAAGAACGTAATGTCTGGCAGCAGAAGATGGAGAAGATCAAGAAAAGAAGAGCGAGAAAACAATGGACTTTGTAAGAAATCGCATGAACAATGAAATGCGAGACAATGGATATGATAGAATGACATTTTGCAAATGAACGATTTACTATATGGTTTTCCCATTTTACCAAGTAATTCTGTAATTTGCCCTAAATACAATTTGGCTGTCCTCACCCGTGTTCTTCTTCACTACAGTAGTAGTAGTAGTAGTTGTAGTAGTAGTAGTAGTAGTTGTAGTAGTAGTAGTAGTAGTAGTTGTAGTAGTAGTAGTAGTAGTTGTAGTTGTAGTAGTAGTAGTTGTAGTAGTAGTAGTTGTAGTAGTTGTAGTAGTTGTAGTAGTTGTAGTAGTTGTAGTAGTTGTAGTAGTTGTAGTAGTTGTAGTAGTTGTAGTAGTTGTAGTAGTTGTAGTAGTTGTAGTAGTTGTAGTAGTAGTAGTTGTAGTTGTAGTAGTTGTAGTAGTTGTTGTAGTAGTAGTAGCAGTAGTTGTAGTAGCAGTAGTAGTTGTTGTTGTAGTAGTAGTAGTAGTTGTAGTAGTAGTAGTAGTTGTAGTTGTAGTAGTTGTTGTAGTAGTAGTAGCAGTAGTTGTAGTAGTAGTAGTTGTTGTTGTAGTAGTAGCAGTAGTTGTAGTAGTAGTTGTAGTAGTAGTAGTAATTGTAGTAGTAGTAGTAGTAGTAGTAGTAGTAGTAGTAGTTGTAGTAGTAGTTTCGGGATCACAATACAGTCGATGTTTTTCATTTTGATAAATGGTTGATTTTTGTTGTACTAGGAAAATTGTGCTGAAACGTTGCATCCCGATGGGATGACTATGCAACAATCAGGCAAGAAATTCTTTCGTGCAGATCATGTTAGTGAAGCACAAAAAAAGAAACGTGGATACATTAATCGTGAGATGCGAACTGCACCCGTTAATCGATTTAGCATTACTTCATCAACAGTCAGATCTGATTTGAATGGTGATGATTGTAGTAGGAAACCTGGAGATGATGTTACATATTTAGCTAAAGTTGGTATTGTAAGTAATTCAGGTAAGTAAGCAACATTCTAGTCAATTTTTAAATAGTTTAATCCGTGGTTTATAATAATGTAATTCAGTAGTAGATACAAAGACATGTTTAAAATAGAACTTGGGGTATATGTATGTTATACCAAGCAAAATTTATACAGGAATATGAAATTAATAAGAGGATAGACGGAAAGATGGGAATAAAAAAAACTAAAATTGGTGGAAAACTAAACAAAAGTACTTCCAGTGTATTCATGGAACTAAAAGAATAAAATATCCGTGTTTGTGATTTTGCGGTTGATATCACAAATATATTACTTTTATTTATAATATCGCTCTAAGTTTTCAGTCATTGATTTTAACTATCTTACGGAGCTCAACCATAATGTTTGTACTCGCTCAGTCCAACAGTCAGTAACTTTATGGACTGATTCCGTATTTCTGTTTTTCATCCTTTTTTGGAGTCCACCATGCTAATTAGGTAGCTTTACTCATCCAGCTAAATCGTGGCTAAGCATGTGTAACATATCTGAACTAATGATTACTGAAACTCGATAGTCTAATACTGACCACCGTACTGAGTTTGTACGAAACTAGACGAGTTGAACTATCAGTTGCTTTCAGGGTAGTTCTGTAGGCCGTTAAAAATTTTGCAATTACCTGTCTAGTTGTCCCCTTACCTCCCACTTTTGGTAATGCTCGTTTAAAAGTATTGCGAAAACGTTCATCTTATCAATATGTATTATTGTTTATCAGTCTCAAGGTTTTTATGGGTAGATAGCTTCGTGGTGTGTTATGTTCCGATAAGATTAATGAGTGGTAATCTCTGGGATCCATTCGTGGACCAAGACTAAACGTATATTTTTATCGTATAATTGCTAAATAACTAAACTATGCATATTCATATTCTTATCGCAAGCTTTATTTTGACCTATGAACTATTATTATACGATTTACCATTCTCGAATTATTCCCTGTCTATTAATTACTACCTCGCTCACTCACAGCCACATTTGGCTAATGCCTGTACAAATGTTGTTTTCTATTTTATGGTACGATGTGGTGTGTTTGATTGGTATATAAACTCAGTATGTTTGAAATAAATGATTCATATCGCAGAGGCTCTGATTGGTGTTCTGGATTAAACTGGCTGGGCTAGTCGAAAAGCAGTACCAATAAGGACTCCAGACTGCTCATACGGGTTTGCGCGTCGTTGATCCGATCGACAAGTCATTGCTCTCTGATTAGCGGTATCTTTACGTCATCCATTAACAGGGCACTCAGGCCACAAGTTATAACACGGTGTTTTTCTTTGAATATCCTATTGCTGGATATCACTGTTGTTCAGTAGCTTGCATAATAGTACATACAGCATAATGCTGCATGTTAATAGAAGAGTTTAGTCTAATGGTTTTTGTACACTGCACATATATTACTGAATTTAAAATTAAGTATTAGTGAATGAAAGTGTCAATCGGTGTACTCATGTGAGCTGTGAATTATTAAATAACATGGGAATGCAAACAAACTGGTTCTGACCATCTATTACATCCAACCAGTATTTACTTTTTTCGAAGAATTAATGCAGTAGTTTAAGTCCATCAAATGAATATACAATTTTAATTAATCTAACCAATTGTTTGCTTCATAAATCATCACTGATCGATAGCTTGGATAGTTATGCATTTGAAGTATACTTTATTGTTGAAGAAGAACAAATCAACAAAGATAGAATCTAATAACATTTTCCGAACTATTTTTAATGTGCATTAGGCCTATATATGTGAAATTTGTTTACCAGCACCATATATTTTAATTTTCACATTTCTCCTCTGACTAATATTTATGCCTGTTGTGTTTGAATTAACTATATACCCGAAACAGAAATAAGTTTATTTTTCGCGAAATTTTGTTGCGTACAGACGTGCTAACATTCGAGGTTTAGTTTTAATCAATTACAGTGTTTATTTACTTATTATGTTATGTAGTTAGCCGTAAACGACCTACACGTCGTGGGAAATCAACTCGTCAAAAATTAACAACAGAAGTTCAGGGCGCCAATAACGAAACAAGCACTTCACCTGCTGTTGAGGTTATCACGGAAGACGATGTAAGTCAGCTGACTTTGATCGCTATCAAAGTAATTATGTACTAAGTACCTCGTTTTGTATTTCAATCTTCCGTTATTTTATTTAGGTTTCATATGATTTTACTATGTCTTAAAGCTGTTTTAAAACAAGTTGATGTCATAATGTCATGATAAATTAGCACGATTATATTTAAACTCAATGTAAATTCATTGTAATCGCTAATTTTAAGGTACAACGTAATTTTTCTTTGGTACCGCTGAGTGTATTAGTCCTAATGGTGCTTTTTAAACTTTTAGTCGATGTCTTATCATTACATAGATTAGAATAACAGGATCATATTTTGTATGAGCTCTTACTAATATTTATGATTTTGTTAGTCTTCACTGGAAATCCTAATCAGTGTCTAAGGATGTTTTTTAATATTACTCATTTATTATTTATTTATTTGAACACATCAATATTGGTACAAGAGTGCGCCAAATATATATGCGCCACACAAAACAATGAGGATTTAAAGGGAAGGAAAAAGAAAAAAAGGTATGGAGGGTAAAAAATACAATAAGGAAGAGAGTGGTGTAAGGTAGTGTAATATTAATAGTGGTAATAATGGGGGAACGGAAAGGTACAATCAGAAGGAATCTTCCAGTTAAGGAAGAAGCAACCACTTTTTATGAAGAAAGTAAAAGAAGGTTACAGCAGGATCGCCACTGGCTTCTATTCTGAGCCACTGTGTAGAAACCTCTCTCGCACCCCAACCAGGGAGTCGTGAACGACCAACAGAAGCCAGTCCTTTGCAGCTTTTTTTCATACCACGACACCATGTCATGCACTGACCACCTCTCCGCTTCTTCCAACCAATCCCAGAGTCGGCAAATAATGCACGACGTGGAATTCTCTGGGACGACATTCCGAGAACATGTCCAAGCCACCGAAGTCGGTGTTTCAAGATGGTAACACCAATTGGATTATTGTCTCTGCACCCGAACACACGATGCCGAACCTCTGCATTACTAACATGGTGTTGCCACTGGATATCAGCAATCCTTCGGAGACAGCGATGATCGAACACAGAGAGTCTTCTAACGTCCTCAACTCGGAGACCAGGCTAAACAAGCATAGAGCAAAACTGCTCTCACCAATGCGTTGTAGAACCGACCTTTTACAGCCAGACTAACATCACGAAGGCTCCAAAGATGGCCCAGATTGACACAAGCCGCTCTGGCTTTCACTATACGTGCATTGATCTCATCACTCACACCCCAACCAGCACTTATGCAGCTACCCAGATACACGAACTTCTCGACTACGTCTATCTGCTCACCATCCAGGGTGAGTACAGGATTAGAATCCTGCCAGTCTTGTAGAAGTACTTTGCACTTCGAAGGTGCAAAGCACATACCATACCTACGGACACTGACTAAATGAGGATCGCATGCCTTAGGCATTATCGCACAGTAAGACAATATCATCCGCATACTCAAGGTCGAGAAGTCTTTCTCCAGGCAACAGATCCACACCACCATTACGTACATCCATCAGAGCTGTTTCCTGAATGTCATCGATGGTAAAGTTGAAGAAGAATGGTGAGATTGGGCAACCCCATTAACCCCACTACTCGGATGGAACAATGGAGAGAGGTGGTTGTATGCCCTAACTCTGCCTGAGGTGTTTGTATATAGGGCTTTTAGGATGTTAATAAACTTCTCAGACACACCCTTCTTCAATAGACAATCCCAGAGAACAGCCCTGTCCAACGAATCGAAGGCAGCCCTAATATCAAGAAACACTACGATTGTTGGCATTTGATAAGTATGGCGGTGTTCTAACATTTGGCGGAGGGTGAAGATATGATCAATACATCGTCGACCAGAACGAAACCCAGCCTGCTCCTCGCGAGTCAATCTTTCTCGAGTTTTGAACAACCTACGAAGTATAACGGGAGCCAATAGCTTGGACGCAATCGGAAGTAGACTTATCCCCCGATAGTTGTTACAGGAACGACGTGAACCCTTTTTAAAGATAGAGACAACTATGGACTCATTCCGTGGCGTTGGTACAGTCTCTAGTTCCCAGACTTTTGTAAACAACGTCGTCAGTTCCTTAGTCAGAAAGTCACCACCATCTTTAAAAATAGCCGGAGGTAAGTCATCTGGGCCCGGTGATTTGTAACGCTTCAAGAGTTGGAGTTCCTTGCGGACTTCCGCCTCATTTAGTGGATCAGTCGTCAACCGCGATGGAGGCAGGACAGTCTGACCGATGTTGCCGGAGCAGCAGGCCAGTTGAACTGCCCTTCGAAAAATTCTGCCCATCGTCCAAGACGTGATCGGATCAAAAACTCTTGGCTAAATTATTACTAGTAATCAATAAGTTTCGAGAAAAGTTTGTCCACAATTCAAAAGTATTTCATACTACGTCGAAACACTTTAAAACGTCCACTATTTCTGAGAATAGTAATCAAAATTAGCGATAAACTTTTTTTCATTACAACAAAACCATCGTATTATTTCTTACCATAGATAAATCCGCTCTGTCGTTGATTGGATTCGAACTTCATACTGTACAAGCATTAACTGATATCTATTAACCCAATTCGCAATGGTAAGGAACTCGGAACAAATACCTTACTGCTATCACACCTCTGTATAGTCAGCAGTACGACTTCGCCTTCGCACCTTGGGTTTGTTGTTTTTAGTCTTA